AGAAGCTATAAACAGCAACACACATATCTGATTTAATGATATCCCAATAAATTTGGAAGAATTATGGTGTCATACCATCAGAACCAGGTGCTTTATCTGGATTGAGAGAGAACAAAGCTTCTGTGATTTCTGATTTTTCCACCCTGGCTGTGAGGCTGTTGTTGTCTTCTTCATTGATGACTCTTGGTACGAAAGGCATCAGCTGACTTTCCCCCCATGAGCCTTCAGAGGTGAAGAGAAAATTGTAAAAATCCAGAACACATTCAGTAATGCCCTCCTTTGTTTCTCTGAGTCTGCCATTCATATCAAATAATCTGGAGATTAAATTGGTGTTTCTTCTCTGAAGAGTTAGAGCATGGAAGAACCTGGTATTGCGGTCTCCTTCCCTCTTCCACTGGTTTCTTGACTTTTGTCTCCAAAATCTCTCTTGTTGCTCATAAGCCTTGTCCAGTTCTTTTTTCATCTTATCCCATTCTAACCAATCCCTGTTACCTCCCATTGCTTGCATTTCCTCTAGCTTGCCAGATAGCCTTTTGATTTTGTGCTTAGAGTTGATATGAAGGCCTCTGTTCCAGTTAAGCAAAGCAATTCTGGTGTTTCTTATTTTCTCATGAACTCTGAACATGGGTGTTCCTTCTTGTTGTTCATTCCAGGCCTCATTAATTACATTTGAAACCCCATCTTTCTTAATCCAGCTGGAATCAAATCCGAATATCCTCTTTTTTTTTTATGTCTCATGTGGGATTGGAGTTAATGATTAACATTAGGTGGTCAGAGGAGCTTCTGAACCATGTTTCCACTCTTGCAGAAGGATTACTTGTCAACCATTCCAGTGACCCAAACACCCTATCCAGCTTCTCTTCAATATATCCTTCTTGAGCCCTATTATTCCCCCAAGTAAAGGGGTTCCCCACCATTGTTAGCTCAAGCATTCCCATTCTGGCAATGAAGCTATTGAAGGCCAGGCAGCTTGCATTTGTTCTGAAATTGCCTCCTTTTTTGTCTTCCCCTGAGCAGAGGTCATTCCGATCTCCTCCCACTATCCATCTCATACCCCAAGATACTTTAGCTTCCTCAAGATATGTCCACTAAGCTTCCCTTGTCCTCCTGTCAGTGCTTGCATAGATAAGGATAATCCAGCAGGTTCCTTCATCATCTGGGCTTTTCATTTCCACTTCCATACAAAAAGAGTTATTTTTTATTTGGATTATCTCTGCCTCTCTGGACCATAGCAGTAGCAAACCCCACTCTGACCATTGGGTTCACTAGCTAACCATCTATTCTCAAAACCTAATTTTTTATTGACTGGTAAAATCTTTATTCTTCCTGGTTTCAGAAAGGAAAATTAGTGTTGGGTGGTGGAGCCTGATAGCTTCCTTGACCTGGGATACTGTAGAGGTCCCACCCAAACCTCTACAGTTCCACAAGATTGTCTTCATTGCGAAACCTGTGGCCATTCAAGGTTGGCCACCACCACCTGTGTGTCAGAGTTTTTTTGCTTTTTGGAGTGATTTGGTAACTGTTCTTCTCCCACCATTGCACTTGTATCTGCTGGATTGATTTCTGCTGAACTGATTGCCTCTTCTCTTTCTCTTTTGGTGGGGAGACCTTCATTTATGGTTAGGATCTCTTTAGATTTCCTCTTCAGTCTACCTGCAGGTTTGGCTGCTCTTTTCCATGTTCTGGATTGAGATCTCTTTTTGGATTGGGGTGTGGAGGTGTCCTCTTCCAGAATCATAAGTTCTTGTCCACCTATGTTTGTGTCCTTCAGCATCAATGCTTTAGGAGAGAATTTCAGTGTTTGACCCTCTTCAATGGTGTTCTTTAGAGTGAGAGTAGCCCTGTCTCGCTGTATTATTTGGTTTTGAGATGATGATTCTTGGGGGTCTGGTGTGTTCTCCCTGTTGTTTGTATTGATCCCTTGAATTTCCATAACCACCATTTCCAGATTGTTACTACAATCTCTTTTGTCTTCCTCATTGAATTCATGCACCTCTGCATTGTCCTTCCTTAAACCCGTGTTGTGTGGCTCTGTGGCATTGGTTTTCTGAATTCCTTCTGATGAGTTATTTGAAGGGGAGTGGAAGTTGTTGGCCCTATATGAATTTGGTTGATCAAGAGCTTTCATCCATTCTCCGAATTGTCCCTCATTCAAACAAGAGTTCTTAATATCTGAAATCTTTTTAGCACATGATCGGTCTAGGTGACCCACTTTCCCGCAGTAATAGCACAGGTTCACTAGTTTTTCATAGAGGAATGTGACCCCAATAGCTTGGTCATGGTGTTTGATGTTGGTGCCCCTGGGCAGTTGTTCTTCGAGGTTAACCATAACCAAAAGTCTTAGGTAGTTTCCCTTGGTTCCACCCCCTTTGATCACCATCACATTGTTGACCTCATGAAAGATCTGCCCTATTTTAATCCCAACTTCCACGCTCAAAAGATTTAATGGAATCTTGAATACCTGGACCCAGATGTTGAGCCGGCTGAAACATTGGTGGTCTGCATTTAGGCTATGTTCCCATTCATGAAGAATCAGGTACTAGTTGTCGTAAATCCAGTTTGTCCCCGATAGTACCTTCGTCTTATCCTCAGTGTTGCCAAATATGAATTGAAAAAAATTTGCATTTAGTTCCCTAACCTCCATAGGTGCTGTAATATGCCATATATTGCTCAGAGTTCTCTTGAGTCCGAATAGGCTAGCTCGTCGTTCCCCCACTATTTTCCCCAGAAGACTCCTCTCGCACTCATCTTTGCTTAATCGAACATCGTCATCTGCTATTTCGATTATTTTCCCTTCAGATTGAGAAAGAGCAATGTTCTTCAATCTATGCCCTAATTCCTCTTCTATGCCTCCTGATATTTTGTGGGATTCCATGACTCGGGCATTTGCGATTAAATATAGAAAATTGCTATAGGTTGAATTACGAAGATAATGGGTAAGAATCAACAATCAAAAAAGAAAAGTGAATCTCCAGATGGAGGAATAAGAACTCCCAGAGAGAGAATATAGGTTTACAGGAGGTTTGAATTGGCAAACCTGGTTCAAGATTGTAAATCTCAAACCTTCATTCTTTTATGGATAAACCTCTGAAAGTGGGGTTTGTAAACCTTTTATAAACCTGCCACTAAGAGCATCTCTAATAACCCTCCTACACAAACCTCCTTTATCTATTCCCAATATGTCACATCATCCAAAACCTCATTCTTACTACTACACATATAAACCTCCAATAATAACAAACCTCATAAACATCTTTTTTATGGGTCCTACATGTTTCTCACTTATTTTTATACTTAATATTATACTCTTATTTTTAATTAATATTTTTAAACTATAACTTCAATTTTATTTTTATACAACCTAAATGTTTCACTACTCCGTCACATAGGATAGAGGCTCACTCTGAATCCATAGTATCCTTTGCATCTTCTGTCTTGTCTCTTGGCTTCAGGGAGTCTGTGAGTAAGAGTGCCTAGTGTCTAAGCCCAATTCATTTCCTTCCCGTGCCAGTGTTAAAAATATAACTTCAATTTTATTTTTATACAACCTAAATGTTTCACATATTTATCATAAATACATATTTATCATAAATACATACAAAAATCAAACCATAAATGAGATAAAAGTAAAATATTACAACTAAATAAAATATTTTTATTTTTAAATGAATTGTGTCAATTTATAAAAAAGTAAAAAAAAAATTTACTAATACAAATTGTTAGAAATTATATGTTAACTTTTTTCCGAAAAGAGAAAAGAACAAATGAATTGAAAAATTAAGTAGGAGTAATTTTCTTTCATCACAATTCAGATTGATAGTAATTAAAACAAGAAAAGAAAAAAAAGAAATAAATAGGAAACAAAATAATAAATGGAACATGCACATGGGCTGACAGAATTGTTCCGACTATCCACGACATGCAAACACTTTTTTTTAAAAAAAAAAAAAAATATTATTTTGGAGGTTTGAATGAAGTTTATATCTACAAACCTGGTTTAGATTTTTAAACCTCAAACCTTATAATAAGGTGCTCCCCTCTTCACACAGGTATTAGATAAAGGTGAAGAGGGGGGAGTGTGAGAGCAAAAGGTATTAGATATAATCGAATCAGATATGATCGTCACACTTATGTGTTTGGCTCTAGGTATAGCTCCCCTCGTATAAGTCATGTATTAGATGCAAATGTGATTTGTATTGTCAGCTAGGTAATTGGTTGAACTTATTTTTTATGTTAATAATATTCTATCAAAAAAATGTTGTAAAAAAAATAATGTGGAGCGACGAATTAAAATTTGTTTGTGTTGAAGAAACATAAACTCTAATAAATGCAACAACTATTACGTCTTTTTTCTTAAGATAAAATGGCTCAAAATGTGAGTAAGCACTATCTAATATACTCACCTCTGATACATTAATATTCTCCTTCATAAATGACAATAAATAAATCAAACGTAAGAATTATCAAAAATATCTTTGAAGACACAAAACCGAACAAATGAGTTCGGTTAGAGCATTATAAAGATTTGAAAAATTAATTGAGCCCTTCCATTTTATCTAAATATTCTCACAAAATACAACTTCCTCATTTTACAACAAAAAAAACAGAAAATGCAAGTATATATTTTTTACATATTTTTAACCCACGGCAAGTCTGCAACTGTCATCAACCGTCATTTAACGTTTACCCTAAATTAAAACATAATTTCCCCAAAACTAATTTTCATCTGGACAGAAAAAACACCAAAATGGAGACGAAAACCCAAACTCCCGCTGCCACACACGCCATATCCATCCTCCTCTCTCTCCTCTCCTTTCTCTCTCTATACTCCACCTTCGCCCTCACGAACATCTCATACGCCCCTCTCTCCGCTTCCCCGTCGGCCCTCCGCCGCCGCCCCTCCATGGCAAGTAGTTCAACATAAATAAAAATAGGCGGAAGCTAAAGACACATCCATAATTGACCACCATCTCGCTCGTCTTTACGCCACTGCCTCCAGCTCATCTCAACCTAAATAAAGGAAGAGAAGACAACAACAGAAAAATAATGGGGGTGAGGATAACCAACAAGCCGTCCACCACCGTGGCGCACCGGAGCTGCAATTCCCCCGTCAGCCAGTCCCGACTCGCCTCCACCGCCCCAGATCCGGCGACGTACACCGCCCGCCGCCGCCGCGGGTCGATCAGTATCCAGCTCACGCGCAGGAGCGAGGCGGCGCGTGCTGCCCAATCGTCGTCGGATTTGAGCGGCGTGTGCAGGGTCTCCTTGGGGCTCAGGAGGTCGAGGCGGAAGGGCGAGCTCTGGAACCAGCCGGAGAGAGTCTCCGTCTTCAGGACCATCGAGTGTATCAATCTGCCGTCGTAGTGAATGTCAACGGCGGAGATTAGAAATTCCGGCGGCGTTCCCGGGAAAATCGTCTTGCCGTGAGGGAAGGAGTGAGGCCGGGCGGAGGGAAAGCAGTCGGAGTATAAGGAGCGGTGGCCGGAGGGGAGGGCGTAGATGGCGGCGCGGATGGCGGGGTCGGCGGTGGACGGCCACGTGGAGTTGCAGATCTCCCGCCAAAGCCAATCTTCTCGGCAAAGGGAGAGAAGCTGTGGGGAGGTGCAACTGGCGGAGGCGAGGGCGGCGCCGTCGAGCCTGTTGAGGATGTGTGATTGGATGACGTCGGGGTGGACGGCGGTTATGGTGGTGGTTCCTGCGCCGTCGGCCGTGCAAGTGGTGGTGGGACACATGATTGTTCTGTATTTGTTGTGAGGGTATATAGATAATTTAGTCTTGTATATATCTGATTTTGGGAATGGACCAAATATGATGTAGATAATTA